GTTTACTGTTTACCCTTTGAAACAAGCATTTAGATATGGACGGCACGAAGAGGGACACATTAGAGATAATTACTTGGGCTCGAATGCCGGTACATCGTTACCAATAATAATACAAATTGCATGGGGACCCTTTTGGATTACTATATTATTTTCTAGCATTTATCCAACTTACAAAAGAAATCGAAAGAAACAAAAAAGAATAGAAGATTATTGAGATTTTCTCTTAAGATGTACAAAATAAGTCTAATTAAAATGTTGTAATTCTTGAACTCTATGTGAATCTGAGTTTTTCTCTCTCAAAAACTTGCTTAGAAACTCTAATCTTATATTTATATGTGTCTATGTGTTGGGAATGGTACAAGGAAGTCCAAAATCTTTGCAAAGAATTTATTCACCAATGGGTCAAATGAGAAATCACAATAAGTGAGCCGACATCACATCTTAACCCAAAACCTTAAGGCTATAGGTTTCTGGGTCTTTTACACTTATATGATCCTCAATTGGTCTAAATCTAGCCTATCTGGGACTTACTTCACCAGAAAACACTCACACTTGATTATTTCCAACATCCTCCCTCAAGTGTGAGGCCCAACATCATTCTCACCCTAAGGGCAACTTCTGCGGATGCGGAAGTCTTTCTCTCTTCAAATATTAGGGTCACACTAGCCTTCTGCGGAGGCCTTTCAAATACTTAGTCCAGCCAAACCGTTGGCTCTGATATCGCTATTGAGAATGGTAACGGGGGAGCCTAAAACCTTTTATAAAGGATACCTCCAGCAATGGGCCAAGTGACAAACCATAATAAGTGCGCCGAAGCCACATCTGAACCTAAAACCTTAAGGCTATAGGTTTATGGGTCTTTTACACTTATATGGTCCTCAATTGGTTTAAGTCTAGCCAATGTGGGACTTACTTCCCTACTACTCACTCACACTTGATTATTTCCAACACAATGAAGAGTATAGTCGTTTATGATAGTTGGACGATTAAATTCAAATTTTAGCTTTCTAGTAAACTCATATCTAGATATATGTCGAGTTCGTATTCAAATATCTGTATCCTGATATATGATTTCACGTATTCGGATATATTATAACAACATTCTCATTTTACTTGTTTTTTGATCCAAATCAACTTCAAATGATTTCTAATAACTTGCAATACATGTAAGAATGTTTCTAACAACTTTTTTAAAATGTGTTTGTGATCTTGTATGCATAATCGAAGCATGTAAGTTCTTATAATGCATGTTTATGAACTATGAGTGCATTTCTTGTAGATAGAGCTCAATTATAAGTTTCTATGCTTAAAACTATATATCTAACTACGTAAGCCCGAAAGAGAGGGATTCCAGAGACTGTGCTGTATGAGACAGTACAGTTGAGAATGACTTATAAGAATTAATTGGTACTACCTATACTAACAAGATGCATCTACTTTTCGGTAGCCCGGATCGAGAGAACTCTACAGTTAAGCGTGCTTGACTTGGAGCAATTCTGGGATGGGTGACCTCCTGGTAAGTTTTCTTAGGAAGTGTGCGAGTGAGGAAAAAACACATTGAAAAGTCTCGTGTTAGTATGTGGGGATAGTCATTGATTCTTGAAACGGTCGGGCATTACAAGTGGTATCAGAGCAGGGCCTCTCTTTCAGTACGGTGTGGTTCGAGAACGAACCAGGCGGAAGCTGGTGGGCATGTAGCATCCCGGGCGCTGACGAGGGCAGAGAGCGATCGCCGGTGCGAAAGGGCATGGACAAGGAGCGGCTCCTGGCAGGCTTCCAGCGACGGGGGTACATGAATGAATCGAATCAATACCCGAAAGAAAGAGATTCTAGAGACTGTGCTGGTATGGGACGGTACAGTTGGGAATGGCTTAAAAGAATTAATTGGTACTACCTATACTAACAAAATGCATCTACTTTTCGGTAGCCCGGATCGGAAGAACTCCACAGTTAAGCGTGCTTGACTTGGAGCAATTCTGGATGAGTGACCTTCTGGGAAGTTTTCTCGGGAAGTGTGCGAGTGAGGAAAAAGCACATTGCACACTGAAAAGTCTCGTGTTAGTATGTGGGGATAGTCATTGATTCTTGAAGCGGTTGGGCGTTACAATTTTCGTCTCTGTCTAATAAGAATTAAACTAGTAGAAATATGCAATGCGATATATCATGTGATAAAGGATTAAAGAAAAAGAAAAAGTTAATTCGTATTTTCGTAAGTTAAGTCTTCCGCTGTTTCTGTTCAGTATTATATGTATGTTAATTGAACCGGCTCGAGACGGGATGTTACACAGGACACAGAATCTCTTATCTTGGATTAGTATGCATTTAGAGCTGCTAAGGATGCATTTCTAATCTTGGATTGGTATACATTTAGAGCTGCCATGTGGCAGTCGCACCGCATAAGCAACAGCCAGAGGAGAGTTTTACACACAAATTAACCACTCAATCCCTAAATAATATTGTACTCACCAGTGTGATTACAATACCTAATTTATGAGATACAATATTACATGTCCTTGATTAGTATATCTAAGCTTAGTCATGAGATCATCCACCAATTACTGAGAAAAACGTCATGCTCATTATCAACCCAAAGCATTTAACTAACATAGTTCAAAAGTTATCATAATGTAAACAACTTTGTAACAGAACTGGCATATAATGGAAACAAACTAATCTTGTTCTCTTTCACATGTCCTTGATTAGTATATCTAAGCTTAGTCATGAGATCATCCACCAATTACTGAGAAAAACGTCATGCTCATTATCAACCCAAAGCATTTAACTAACATAGTTCAAAAGTTATCATAATGTAAACAACTTTGTAACAGAACTGGCATATAATGGAAACAAACTAATCTTGTTCTCTTTCATCAGAAAATAAAAATAAAAATCTTGTCCTCTGCACAGGAAAATTAAGAATGGAATCTGTAAAGAACCTTCATATAAAGAACCTTGAGATACACCACCCCAAAAACTAGCTCAAAGAGTGGGAGTACCCAAGGCCTTATAAACTCCACATTAGTTGCCCATACAACCAACGTGGGACTATATATCTCAACAGAATCTTAATGTCATCATTTTCCCTATCCAGTGTTGTCAGTTCACTGCATCTTTTACATCATATTTTGCTCCAACTCTCAAAAGTTCCTCAATTTTTGGCTTGTCACCTTCTGATGCAGCTAAGGACAGTAGGATGTCCACGTGGCGAATATTTTGCCTTAAAAGAGCTTCCATTTTGTCATATGATCCATAGTTGAAGTACTGCAAAAGATTATGATGTAAATATGAAGTTTCTCACTGCTGTTGTAACATAAAAGCATTTTCCCTTCGGAAATTAAATTTCCAAATTACAATGCCTAAGAACAGTCAATAAAGCAAGGGGGAAAGACATATCAATAACACTGAATAATAGCGTAGCTTAAACTAAAAGTAGATTAGTTGGGGACATTTGGAACTCAGAATGTATGCAGTAAAATCATTTGAAATAGTAGAAAAAGGGGAATATCAAATAAATACTACAGAGTCAAACCAATATTTGTCCACTAATGCAGCATTGATTAGAGAAGATACATAATAAAGTTATAATATTTTAACTGAACCATACACAATAGAATTTAGAGATACTCTTATACCTTGATATTACAGATACGTGAACGTCATAATTTTTTTTTATATATTATTGTTTATGTCAACTTGTGTGATTCCTCCATCAAAACAGCTTTGTAACAAAGTAGAAATATTCTTATACAGAGAAAATTCAGGCAAAGTGTATGCTTGACTTATTCAGTAATTGTTAACCTAGTTATTAATTTTCTATTTAAATTACTTGTTACAATGTCTTTTCCTTGCTTTAAAGTAAATTTAGATCCCAATAACAGCTGTTATCTAACATTGTTCAGCTAGACAACTTCCTTCTCGTGAAATATCTCATAAGTGTTATCCGAAATTCTCACCATAATGTTTCTACAGATTAAGTATTCACCCTTTTTTCTGTGACTCAAAATGTAGATGAACGAATTTTCTTTTGGTGTTAGGGCTGTGCATGGGTCAGGTCGGGTCAGGTTTTTGTCCGACTCGACCCAACTTGGTTTTTATAGGTCAGGTATTTTGACCCAACCCGCTCTAATTTGATCCAAGTCAGGTCTGACTTGGTTTGGATTTTGTTGAACTAGTTCAGAACTGGATCAGATCTGACCTGACTTGGTTTCTGAAGTGGGTCAAATCTGACCTGACCCGTTTTTGACTTGGTTTCCTCACAAAATTTCGTCGAAATTTCTACGTTGCAAATGACAAAAAATTCATCACAAAATTATTTTTTCGTCGGAATATTTTTTGTCGAAAAGCGACGAAAATTTTTCTCTAATGAAAATTTTACAAAAATTAATTTGGGTCAAGGTAGGCTATTTATTTTTTTATAAACGGGTCAAGGTAGACTAATAGTTAGACTCGTACTAGGATCAGGCTAGACCAAATTGAAATTTTTTGACATAAGCTTGAACTTTTTAGAGAAAAGCTCAGCCCAGCCCACTTTTACCACTACGTGCAATCATACGTGCATATAGATTAGTTTAAGCATTATATTTTATCATAACTTTTGCATCTCTAAATTATTCCCATCATATTTAACAAATCAGCATTGATATATCCTTTTAATCCCACTTTAACTTTTTGCATTCGATGGATTTTGATATATTTGTAATTTATATTACAGAGCATAAAAAAGTTTACTGTTGAGTCAACATATTTACATGTTAATTTAACATTTGTTAAGATTAAAATGAATGGTATTTTATATGATAGGATGCATTATTGGGTCTAGTGAGTTATAAGTCTCATTTTCTGTTTCGGTGTTTTACATACATCACAACTAGGAACTTTGATGAGCTTAGACGAGTCGCACACCTCTAGCTTAAAAAGACAACGGAACAAAAGATATGAAATTTTAATTGTAAAATAAATCACAAATTTACACTTCATATAAAAATTATGATTTTCTAGGCCTTATATAATTTCATTGCAAATATACACAACATTAACTTCGGACATCTCTCTGACCTACAGCTTTAATTTCATTGGTTGGCTTCTACATGCATTCTTGGAGGGGATATCTTAGAACATTAGGAATCATATGCACATTTGCATGCACAATGACTTTGGAATCACTTATTGAATATTTTTGGCTCTGCACATCAACAACAATTCTGCACTCCATCCCCCAAATTGTAAGGATGTCCAACCCTACAATGCTAGCAGGATGAATACTTCAGATGAATTAATTGATCAATACCATAAAAGATAGTTTTCATAAAGATATCTGTATTGTGTAATGCTCATATTACCTAAAACATGAGCCATGCATGGAGAAACCATTGGTTGTGTGATAGATTCTGCAAAAACAGTAACACTTTGGAGGTTTAATGGACTAGCCAGCTTTCAGAATTACATCATTTGCAACTGAAACTTCACTGATATCATCATATGATTTAGAACATCATCCTGTACATCGGGGCCCCACGCTCTAGAACATGTTTTTCCCAATCTGACCTAACTCCAAATGGGTTTTCCTCAAGCCACACAATTTGGCAATGCTCCAAATCAAGCTTACCCTTCCTATATCTCAAGAATCGTTCCTTCATCCTTATTGCTACAGCCTCTACATCAGATTGCAGAAAGACCTGGTTATTGTCAATAATCTAAATAAGCCTTGATATTTATAACTCAAACTATTCAAAGAATGTAAGCGGAGTAAGTCACTACTCATCACAATAAAGTGTCATTACACAGAGAAAGGAACTATAAATATAATATTGAAAACAACTATTTTCCTTTACAATGAGGTTTATTGCCCTCCACTCAGATATGACAAGCAATGATGTTTTATAAGATAAATGGAAGGGACCTAACCATAAGCTGCACATTGATCAAGTAAAGCTACTCCAAAGTATACTTACCTTCCCATTAGATGCTAGAAGATCCACTACTGCTTCAATTAAAGATCTCTGCAGGATCCTCCATCTATGCTCAGATTTATTGAAATCAGGGTTTGGACACTAAAGAAAAGAAAGCCAAAAATGAGATTAAGGTTTATTAGTATTTGATGGAGAGAAAAAAAGAATTACAGAAAAAATATTTGATTACACATTACATTAAACTCAAACTGGCTTATTTACTACAAGTAATAAGCAAGGCTGAGACTCCTACTAATATCTTTCAGTAAAATTTTGTTACAGTAATAGAAGATTTGCTCAGAGGTTTACCAATCAAGTTGGGAAGGTTGTGACATTAAATAATTTTACGAGAAAATATTGAGAGGAAAAAGAAAAATTAGGCCATAAATGTTTGTTTTAATAAATTAGCTTTAGCAATATTATTAGAAGAATGTTTAATAGGTATAAGTAGAATTCTCTCCCTTTTACTGGATCTTTCTCATCAACCAATGGATTTAACACTGTTGTTGTTTCAGTGTCTGCAAGTTAGTGATCATCATAAACCAAAAAAACACGACATTTCACTCCAATATACAAGGAATGATCAAAGCTTCTATGAATGGCAGTCTTGCCAAAAGACTAGTTGTGATGTCATAAGAAAAATGTCAGTAGCAAACACTAAAAGTAAGGAGGTAATTGTAGGCAAACGGCAGCTAGCTTGCAGTATGCTAATAAGCCATTTGTGCTCAAGAAATTGCTTATTGGTGATAATAGTGTGTATAAAATACCGAAGGATGAATGATACCCACAAAGCTTATGTCACTAATAGCAGGGCTAACATGCTGCAAATTCATTCATTGGTGCAATGGTGGCAGTGGAATCGACGTAGGTGTATATATGGCAGCATTAATACTACAGAAAAGACCAACAAAAGGTCTAAGAACAGAAAGAAAGGTGAGCTTGTGTTAATAGACAGTTAGTTGAACTTGGTGTCTTTTTTTTATATTGACATGGAGAGTGATGTGGGATAAGTTGGTCATGGCCATAATTCTTGTATTTTTGTTAAGATATGCCATGGGGAAAAAAAATAAAGAAACGAATATATATTCTTTTAAATTGGCAAATGATGCTTCCCATCCAGAAGACAGTTCTCGGTAATTGATATAATTATAAGGTCACTTCCAAGTCTCAGTAACAGTGTCTACTTAATAATTTGGGTTTTGACAAGTCAAAGGTACACAAAGAAAGACAATGAACAAGCTAATGAGTCAATCCAAAGAATAAACATTATTCAAATTCATTGTAAGAATATAATCCTGAAATAATAATTTTCTTTTGGGGCTGGTTCTTAGGCCTTAGGGGCAAGGGAGGAAGCATTTTCTGCTTCAGCAATCATCCATTCTGAATTCTAGAAAACACCATCAATCACATCATAATGCCTCAGGACATGACCAAGAAGGCTTCTAAAGATTATGCCTATTTTCTACAGTTCAGTATACCAAGCACATCAGTGATGACTTTAAATGAAAAAAGAAATGGATGTTAGAATTAAAAGTGTAATTAAATTTAAGCTTGACCTGTATTGACACAAGAACTAACTCTCCTGGGTAAGAAGAAACGATGGAGCGGAATGTTTATGTTGCATTAGTAGCAACAAAGTACCTAAAATGTATAAAACAGGAAAGTAATTTACAAAGTTAAACAAAAGAATAAAATTTCAACAATGAAGGAACTCAAACATTAGTGATATATGATCGTAATTGAATATGCCCTTAAAATAAGTCCATAATGTTCTTGTGCCATCACTTGAATAAATTATTGAATCAAAACAAAAACCAAACAGATGCTGCATCTATTTGTACTATGAAAGAAATAGAATTACCCATTCTTTATGCCAAACTGATGAGTAGAATCCAGACAGCGCAAAACAAGCTGAAAAAGATGTTAATAGTTGTTGCTGTACATAGTATAGAAGTCCCACATTGTGTATATGTGTGTGTATTTGTTATTTAGTTTAATATATAAAAGAAGTCTCCTTCGTGTAGTTGACACATGGATTACAATGAATACCTCTTGTCTCTTGGTAATTAACATGGTATCTAGAGCCTAACAAGAGGAATCCTAATCCGCGTATTTTTTTTTCGGTGGACCACTGTCCGCTGAGTAATTTTTTTTTTTTTCGGAAACAATCATATCTGTCAGTTTCCGGCGTCCATACATCGTCAAAGGACCTCTCTGATCACTGCCGCTGTCCGTTGACCGCCGTCCACCGCCGTTGACCGCCATCCGCCGCCGTTGACCGCCGTCTCTGACGAATTTTCTGGCGATTTTTCCGACGAACCATACACGGTTCTGATCGTCCAGACACGGCGGTCTTGTTTGTCTTGGACCCGTTCGAAGATCCTTCTCCACGCGCGTCACGAAGGGGCTGCGTCCAGTTATTTTGCAGCCGCGCGTGGAGGCGCGTGAGGCTGTTTCTTCCGGTCCGACCACCACCGTCCATCTCGCCGTGACCTTGCGTCCCTGGATCTGTCCTCGATTTGTGGTTTTGACATCGTTCTGATTTCCTACGGTGTCCTTTCCCTTGTTGGTTACTGTTCACAGGTGTCTCTTTGCTTTTCGTTGCTGTTCTTTTTGGTTTCAGGTGACCCATGGCTGATTTGTCACCCCACAATGCATCCAAGGGTTCTCAAAAGGCTGACCCGCCTGTTTTTTCTAATTATGTTAATGTTCCGCTGCACGTCGACAAGTTGGATGGCTCCAATTATGATTCTTGGGCTTCTGATCTCCGACTTTGGCTTGATGGACAGGACTACACTGACCATCTCATTACTAAGGCTTAGTCCATCTCGGTAGATGTACGCCCTCATTGAAAAAAGGTTGATGCTCAGTTATGTAGCATCATCAACTCTACCATCCACTCGTCCTTGAAGCAGATTTTTCGTGCTCACGTCACTTGTGAGTCTGTTTGGCGTCAGGCCAAGTCACTTTATACCAATGACACTCAGCGACTCTATGGCCTTTGTCAAAATTTGATCACTACTATTGCTGCTCAAGAACTTGATGTCTCTATGTCTGCATACTTGGGAAAAGTTCAGGGCCTCCTTCATGATTTCAATGAACTGTTGCCGCTTGCTGCAGATCCTGCTTATAACACCTAAAAATTTTAAATCAAGTAATTAAAATATTAAGTCAGCAATCAAGTGATGGATTAGTGAAAATCCTAAAGATTAGGCCAAAATACAAAGAAAGGGCAAAACGATAATTAGCCAACACGCAACCCTAGGAAGATAAAAATTGAGTAGAAGGTCTCTGATGATAAAAATAACCCTGGAAATGGATTCAGAACAAAAAATTGAGTGGACAGGCAAGTTTCAGAAAAATCAGTGAATAGTGTTTTTCGCGGGTAAAAATACCGCGGTACGATTGCACCGTAAAACGTGCCGATTGAGTTTTGAGCTCTAGGTTTCAAATATGAGTTATAAATGGTTTGTTGAGTTAGGAAATATGATTTTGATGAAATTTGATGGAATTGAGTCATTTTGGGAAAAATTGATGAATAGTGATTTTCCGGTGTAAAAATACTGCGGTATAATTGTACCGATAAGCGTGAAAATTTTATCAGTATTTTTAGGAAACAAAAATATGACGTGAACAAGAAAAATATGTAGGTCATGAATTTATGGTCGAAATTAGTGACTTGAAAGTCACATTTTCATGACATTTTCTCTCTCCTCCCTCTCTTCTCTCCCGCGCGCAGCAGCCCACCATGGCCAAGTATTGCTCAAGCTTTCTTTCTTCCATAACTTGGTCATTTCTCCACCGAATCCAACGATTTTTGTCTTGAATCTTGATGGAAAACACCTCCTAAACACATTGGTACCACTCTTGAGCCTTGAAATCGTGTGTGTGAGGAGATCTTGCCCATTTCAGCCGCAGTTTTGAGGAGAAAAATTGTGTTCTTGAAGCTTCCAAGTGCTCCAATGGTGGAGTATAGTTAGGAGGAGTCTTATACCTTCCGTTTGGGTGAGTGCTCTTGCATTTTAAACGGTTGATGGTGATGATTTGATTTTGGAAACCTAAACTTTGATTTGATGAATAGTGATGTTAGAGAGCTCAATTTGAAAATGTGTATTAGATGATAATGTGTTAGAATGATGTATTAAAGCTAGAAATGCGATGAAATTTATTGGTGAATATTGATGAATTTAACTTAGAAACATTTGATGATCATGATTTTGGACTTGTGAATTTTGGTGTTGAGACTTGTTTGATGAATTGTGGCATGATGGTATGATAGGTTGTGTGAAGGTTGGAGTGATTAAAATTGAATGAAAATTCCTTGGAATGTCATAGGGCAAGATTCGAACCTTTGAGGAAAAATGAGTGAATTGATGATGAAAAATGATTTGGATGATGATATGTGTAGTAATATGGTACTTAGATGGGTTGTGTTGTGGTTGGAAAGTGTTTGAATCAATGGGAAAAATTAATTGTGTTAAGAGACCTAAATGAGCCCAAAGTGAAATATTTCGCAAAACGATGCGTAAATGTCATAAAACGGAAAAACGACGATTGAACTAGCCTCTAAGCAACCTAAGGGAGTGTTATAAAATGAGAAAGAAAATTTAGAAAAATAAATCCCCAATTAACACCTATATGGCCGAACCTCCAAGGGAAAAATGGGGGATTTTGCGATTTTCGCGTTCTGAGGTAATTCGACGCGAAAATAACGAACCGGCACTTGAATTGGCCTATTGACAACCTAATGAGACGTAACAAAATGAGAAAGAAAATTTAGAAAAATAAATCTCAAATTTACCCATAGGCTTATATATGCCCAGGGCGTACGTGGAATTGGGGTTACCATCCCGTATCGTCGTAATTTGTTTCTTTATATTCCCCGTTTCTCTAAATCCCTTGCTATATCCCGTTTTCAAAGTGGTTGTTTTATTCTATTGATATGCATCGAAGTGAACCATTGGGTGGAGTTTTCTCCAGAACCTCTTGGTTACTGAGATATATTCGTATATCTCACCCAGTCTCGGGGTATTTATTTCAGGAGGTAGCAGTGGAGCAGGAGCAGCGGGCAAAAGGCCCGTAGAGTGAGCATTGGAGTGCTTCATGTCTTGTTTTTTTGTTGGCCGACTGGCCTAGGCTAGACTTAGGGCATGAACATCTCATATGTATGTTGTATGAGCTTCATTAGCATATTTGTTCATGCCATTTTGCCTAAGTCTAGTAGTTATGTATTTGGTTATGTTGTCATTTGAATTTAAGTTGTAATATTGGGAGAATGTAAGTTGAAGTTTAAGTTTCAAGTTGTAAATTGTAAAGTAATATTGTAATCATATTTGATGCATGACTATTTATGATGGAAGGGCCTTAGGCCTATTTTAGGGTATGATTACATGTATGATGCAAATATGCATGAAAAAGGTGTTAGTGATTGCAACTACTTAAGGATGATTAATATGAACTATATGCCTAATGACTATAAACTGGATTGGGTTGTAAGTGCCTCAAGGCGTTGTTGGTCCTTGTGTGTGCCACCCATTGGATTATTACTGTATTATCATGTGATTATTAGGTACATTTGAGGTTTAAATGATGTTTACAAATTTGGGATTATTGGAAAAACAAAGGAAACTCTGGCGAATTTTCTGTAGAATTGGCAGATTTTATGCGAAATTCGGGAGAGCATATCTCCCTCCATAGAGGTCCAATAGGGACGTGTCATACGCAATTTTGAAGGTTGAGATGTCCTCTACCTTGTGTCAAAATTTGAAGAAATCCTGGGTTGATCTTCGGCCTGAAACAAATAGAGAAACACGGACTGCTCATGTGCCCCTGCACCTGAGGCAGATTCTGGACCTGATTTGGGAAATTAATTCCCGCTTCGTTTCTCAGTCAAATTAAGTGTATGATATATCAAAATGAAGTTTGAGATGTCTCGTTTGTAGGATAAAAATTTGAGAGCAAATGGTTGAATGGATTGAGTGCAGTAATTCGAGTAAGGTGAGTGGTTTGGAGCTGTTTTTGGGGTTGTTTGGCTAATTGCTGATCCAACTTCAAACAACGATAACCGGAGCTAATGAGCTCCTAATTGAGCATATGATAGCTTGTTGAAAAGGGAATTAAGTGAGACAAAGATATAATCTGAGATGAGAGTTTGGTTGTGATCGGTTTGGTCGTAGAAAAATTTAGAGTGAAACATGTCCGAATTGGTAAAAACGTAAAGTTTGGGAATTGGCTAAGTGAGTTTATGGGAACTCCTTAGTAACTTATAATAAGTAATGTAAGTTATAAAAATAGTTTAAATAAGTCTTCTGCAAGATTTTACAGTTACGGTCACAACTTTTAATTTTTACGCCTTTTTATGTTTTAAATGCTCGCGTAATAATCGGAAAAAGTTTATTCGCATTTTTATAAATGAACTGCTGTGATTGTAACTGCGCTTAATATCATAATTAATGTTAACAATACCGGTGTACAAAGGGCTGTTATATTTTATGGTATCGGAGCAGTTTTGTTAGGGAACTCTGATAATGTATAGTCGTGTTGTGTGTTGCATAGTTGTATGTAGATTCTTATCGATTACTGCATATGTGATTCCTTAGTGTGGGTCTGATCAACCCATTCCTTTGTGTTACATGCGTAGTCATCGTAAGAAGCCTGCGTGGCAACCTTGGAGCACCGAATGTAAGTCCTTAGCCTGATATTGTGGCTGCAGTATTGACTACTCCATGGACAAGAGATGGCAGTAAGTAAAATATGAATATTATAGGACGTAAGGGAAACAGACTTAAATGTTTCGTCTGACCTTGTAGATGAAATTTATAAAGCTGGATTATAAGTGAAAGTTGTAAATAAATCTATGATATGTACGGTATTGCATGGGTGAACCTTGTAGTACTATGAATAATAAAGAT